TAGATCCAGCCAGCTCTAGCTAGCCCACCTGAGGGGCAACTTCTGGCCTCTAAGCATTGTAGGTTCAGTGAGGAACAAGATTAGTGGAGGATGGGAATATAGGTAGGTCACCAGGCAGTATGAGAAAGGGAAAGATAAGCATTGCGGTGGGGGCAGAGGAGTGACAGAACTTTGTGGAAATCCATTTCACCCAATACTCTCGCATGTGTTCCTTTTCTTTTTTCTGCCTTCTTCCCGGTCACCTCTCCCACTTGTCTCTGTCTCAGCATCCTCTTCCTTCTCCCAGGCCTCCTCCCTTCTCCCTTGCTTTCCCTGTATTCTGTTACAGACTACCAAAACCAAACAGGTGTTAAGAACCATCTAGTTCTGAAGCTGAGTGTGGTGGCACGTACCTATAATCCCAGCACCTGGATGTGGAGGCAGGAAGACTAGGAGCTTCAGGTCAACCTGCACTACATAGCGAGTTTAAGACCACCCTGGGCTACATGAGACACTATCTCAAAGACAAACCAAGACTTGGGAGAGATGGATGGATGGATAAAGTACTTTCTGTCAAATTATGAGGTCCAGAGATCAGATTCCCAGAACACACATAAATTCTGCACAGGTGTGGTGGCCTATTTGTCTTTCCAGCACTCAGAAGGTCTGAAGGCAGAAACAGGATCCCTGGAGCTAGCTGGCTACCCTAACTAGCCTTATCAACAAGCTCTGGGTTCCACTGAAACCCTGTCCCGACGAATAAAGAGGAGAGTGATTGAAAAAAGGCTTCTGATGTCAGCCTTAGATTTCCACATGCACACGTGCACTCTTAATCACCCACACACATGTACCCACACTTACACACACAAACAACAATCAAACCAACCAAAAATCTAGTTTTCTGCTTTCAAAAATATTTAAAAGCTTTTCCAAAAGCATTTGTTTCTTTTTTTTTTTTTTTAGAAAACCTTACATAAAACTCTGTCAAGATGTAAAGCTGATAAATTTTACTTGCTCTGAAAGAGGAAGCCAGGACATCACGCTTAATCCACCCAACCTCCAGTTGGGTAATCCTATCCGACCCCAGAAATCTCCTGAGTTCCAATGTCCTCTTTCAATAGGGGAGGAAACTGAGTCCCAGAGAGAAGCAGCACAGGACTTCAAAATCTTGTGTTCTTGAACAGATTAATGAAGTCATTCCTAGAGGTTCAGAAACTGCTTTCATTTACCAAGGTAACATCCCACCATCAGAACTGGAAATAGTCTGGGGACTTTCCTTCCTGTGCTAATGCAATGGCTGGCCTTTCCTCCAGGTCAAAGACAAGAAAAGAAGACACAGAACAGACTTCAGAAAGGACAAATTCAGGGCTATGTGGTGACTGCAATCCTAACATTCAAGAGACTGGAGCAGGAGGATCAGGAGTTCAGGCCAGAAGGGAGAAGAAGAGGTGGAAGAAGAGGAGGAGGAAGAGGAAGAAAAGGAGGAAGAGGAGAAGGAAGAGAAGGAGGGGAGGGGGAGGAGGAGGAAGAGAAAAAGGAAGAGGAGGAGGAAGAGAAGGAGGGGGAGGAGGAGGGGGAGGAGGGGGAGGAGGAAGGAGAGGGAGAGGAGGAGGAAGAGGAAAAGGAGGATGAGGAGGAGGAAAAGGAGGAGGAGGACAAGGAGGAGGAAGAGGAGGAACAGGAGGAAGAGGAGGGAGAGGAGGAGGAGGAACAGGAGGAAGAGGAGGAGGAGGAGGAGGAAGAGGAGGAAGAAAATGCAGTCATCTGGGTCCATCCTGGGCATCTCTGACCATTGCAGAAGGGCTTCTAGACCAAGAAAGCAGCTGGGGCCAGTGGTGTAGCACTCCAAAGAACAAAGGAGTTTTGTGGGCTGGCGTGGATTCTGACATGATCGGGCACAGCAACATGACAACTTGCCTTCCCCTCTGAGGGAGCAGCAGTAATGCCATGTGTCAGCTCTATCGTTGTGCAAGCCCTCCTCCGCCTCCTTCCTCCCCACTACTATAAGATACCCTGTCAGATGAACAGTCACTCTTCTCCCCTTTTGTAATATAACAATATGGATGTTTATAAAGCTTCTCCTCACTTTTCAAAGTCAATACAATTAAAGCACAATGCATCTTAATTGCCAGCCCCCTAGCCCTGTGCAGAGCAAATGGCAGTCGTCCCACTTAAGACAAGCACTGGAACTGAGCAGGGGAGGGGTAAGGAGCCAGGCTGCAACTTCTGCAAAATCGCTCCAGTCAAAACAACAGAGCTTGTACTGAAGGTGCCTGGCTTTCCACGGAGGCTTTTCCAGCCTCTCTAAAGCTGTTTTTATATTCATCATGTTCTCTGTCTCATAGTTTTCCAGAAGCAGGAAAAAGACAACCAATTCGATCATTCTGGAGAAACAGAGCTCCAACACTTTATATCAAGAGGAACAGGAAAAGTCAAAAAGGGCGTGGGTGGCACAGGCCTGTAATCCCAAGGTAGGGGACCCTGATTTTGAGGCCAACCTGGGTTCACAGGAAGACTGCCGCAAACAATACAAACAAAAAAGGCAATCAAAACCAGTTGTCTTAGAGGTGCTTTACCCGAACCTGATGACCTGAGTCCAATCCCCAGAACCCACATGGTGAAGGGAGAGAACAGACTCTCTCCAGTTGTCTTCTGACCACCACACATGCACACATGCAGAGAGAGAGAGAGAGAGAGAGAGAGAAAATAAATAAATGTAATAAAATTTAAAAATATATTTTAACATAGCTTTAAGCACTTACATTAAGGGAGAGAGGGGTACTTAGAAAAAGAACAGCACATACCCAAGACATGGGGGCAGGTTTCTCAAGTCACTTCATAGTCTGATGAAAGAATTGTGAGCAACTTGTATACAAAGCTAAGAGCAGCACCAGTATCAAGTAAGGGCTTGTTAAATTGGAGTTGCTATTCCTGCAGTGCTTTGTGGTGTGCAAAGTGCTGCCACAGACAGTATTTTCTCTCGACTAAAATCCAGATCATTTAGCTCTAAGCCCAAATATTTTTTTTAAAAAATTCAGAATGCTGGGTAATGTCTGGCATGCTTTACTAACCTTTACTAACTCATCCCAAGATGGCTAGTCTACCAGGTATGGTTTTCCCAGTCCCTGTCTTGACTGAGTATCCTCTCTGCTGGAAAAAAAATATGAACAGCTCTACCGAGTGTGAATTGTCTCAGGCCCCTTTTATAGCACCAGGCAGAAATATGCACATTGTTGTTGATAAGCCCCATCTCCCCACTTCCAAATGCCATCCTGTGCTTTGAAGAAAAACCAGTAGGTGAGGTGGATCAGGGAATTAAACTGTAATTTACCCCTGGTCAAAACTTTGGATTTCAGGGACTGGAGAGATGGCTCAGGGATTAAGAGCACTAGCTGCTCTTGCAGAAGACCTGGGTTTGAATTCCAGCACCCACATGATGGTAAACAACTGTCTGTAACCCAGTTCCAGGAAATCCAACGCCCTCTTCTGGCTTCCACAAGCATTTCACGTACATGATGCGCTTACATACATGCAGGCAAAACACTCATATGCATAAAATAAAATATTTTTTAATTAAAAAAAGTCAAGCATGATGGTGCACTTGGGAGGCAGAGGCAGGCTGATCTCTGTGAGAAAGAGGCCAGCCTGGTCTACATAGTGAGTTCCAGGCCAGCTGGGGCTAGAGAGAAACCCTGTCTCAGAAAAACAACACACATAGGACTGGAGAGATAGCTCAGCAGTTAAGAGCACTAGCTGCTCTTGCAGAAGACCCGGGTTCGAATTCCAGCACTATATGATGGTTAACAATCATCCATAACTTCAGTTCCAGGGGATCTAATGCCTTCCTCTGTTCTCTGAGGGCACTGCATGACATGGGTACACTTATATACATACAGGCATAGCATTCATACACATAAAATAAATAAAAATTTAAAAATAATACACATATGTAACTTTGGATACCTTGTAAAGCAACACCAAAAAGCTACATTGTGAGTGTGGGTCATCTTCCCCACCCCAAACAGGAAGTGAGAAGAGGCTGATGTTTCTGGACAATCCAGTGTGTAATGTTAGGTGACTACAATACAGATAGGACTGCAAGTTTGTTGGGCGTGGAATTAACTTGTTCAGGGCACCACAGTGAGTCAAACTCCAGCTAGTCACTTTCCATCTTTTTAATTTTTCTCTGTCCCTCCAAAGTGAGTATTCTCATGTATAAAACCAAGGCTATAAAGGTATACATCCTAAAGGGCACTGTAAAAATTCAGTGAGCTAATTCACCCCATTACATTTAGCACAATCAATGGCACATAGAAGAGTCTAATACATGTTGGTTTTGTTGTTATTAGCCCCCAAAGAAGATCTATGCCTCTTCCATTACTCTTGAATAGGGTTCTGTCCTAACTGAGGACCAAGGCTTTGTCTCCAGGGGAAAGAGTTCCAATCCCTCGTTCAGGTTCATGGGGGTGAGACATGGGCATCAGCAGTATGAGGTGGGAGTCATTTGATCCATGTGTGAGGCAGCTCAGGTAGGGCTCCTGTGCAGCAGCCACCCAGCTTCTGAACCCCTTTATTGACAGGGTGCTCACTCCCTTGTGGCAATCAGCTCATTCCACTCAGAACAGCTGTAATTACAAAATGTCCTTTCCTTCTCGCTTCTCCGGTAGCTCCAGGCCCTTCCTTCCTCTGTTCTCCTTCCTTTCTTTCTTCTCCCTTCCTCCCACCTCTCCCCTCACAGATCCTCCAGTTCCAAGAGCTCGAGGCCCCATTTTTCCAGAAGTCACTGTCCATTCATTCATTGCAGCTGTGTAGAGAGCGCGGCAAGGGCCCGATGTAGCCCCCTAGCCCTGTGGAAACTCGGCCTTCGATGATGTGACAACTTTGTAAGTTCTGTAGGATGGATTTGAAACAAAACCTTTTAACTTGGGCCTTATGATCCATGAACATCATCCACCAGTGCAATCGTCTGTTTCCATTACTGACCTCACCAGCAACCAAATGAAACTGGAAATGGCTTATTCTGGAGCCTCAAGGCCCAGATGGGTCGATGTGCAAGCCAAGGGCAGGGCTGAAGCTCTGCAAATCGAAGCTCGCTGGTCTAGTTCGTGGGTGGGGACCCTCTGTCTAGAAGCAATCCTACTACAGCTGGAATCCAGCCATTAGAGCCTGGGCCAGCGCGGCCACTTTAAGAGAGGGGCGGGGCCCGGCACAGGCAAGGCAGGGCCTGCCCACCAGGCTCCTTTTCCTTTTTGATCCATTCAAAAATTACTCATTGCAAATTCCCGGACTGCTGGGAGAGGAGAAGGAAGGGGGCGGAGGACAGAGAGGCTGCTACAGGAGCAGCCCCGGGGCGTCCGGGCCCTGCAGGCTGCCGGCTGGTCCCGCAGGAGCTGCTGGCCGGCGCCGGGCTCCGGTGGCCTCACCAGGAAGCGTCTGCACAGACACCCGGGAAGCCCTGAGCGCCGCCTCCGCCGTCTGCCGAGCGCGGTTCCTCGCGGTCCTTCCCCGACCCTCGGCTCGGGCGCCCTCACCGGCGATGGGTGGCCGCTGAGCCGAGGACTCCGCACCGAGACCCCAGCCCGCTCGGCATGGCCGCGAGAGAGGAGCTGTACAGCAAAGTCACTCCCCGGAGGAACCGCCAGCAGCGCCCGGGCACCATCAAGCATGGGTCGGCGCTGGACGTGCTCCTGTCCATGGGCTTCCCCCGAGCCCGCGCGTAAGTCTGGGTGCCCCGGGCCCTGCGACCCTCGGCTTCGCTCCGGCTCGCCGCCCCGCGCAGCCCGAGACCTGCTGGGGACACGAAGGGCGCGCTGGCGGCGGCACTCAGCTCCCGGCGCTGGAGAGCCGGGCGAGGGGCTTGCTTTGGGATGCTGGGCGGCCAGGGTACGGGGTTCAAATCCCGGCTGGAATGCCCAGCGCAGGGGCCCCGCGGGTGACGCCAAGCGGTTCTCGCGCGCGCTTCCCCGGGGTCTCGTAGGCTAAGCCGGGGGAGAGGCGGGTCCCTGGGAGGACTCCCTATTCATCTCGGTGCCTAGCCAGTTTGGGATCTTTCTGGGGAAAGCCGAGGACCTGGGGCAGGGAGGCCAGCGCCCCCGCTGCAGCGGATTCCAGCTCTGGATGTCGCTCTCGGGTTCAGTCTCCCTCCGGAGTGGGAGGAGCGGGAGCGTGGGTGTCGCTGCGTGTTCATTGATAGGGAACACGGAATGGGAAAGAGAAGCGATTCCTCCAGGGGATCGGGGTTCTCGTCAGTGGTGACGGCAACGCAGAGATCTGTGGGTGCTTGAAAGTAAAGAGGGGGAGCCGTCCTCCTTCCTCTCCGAGGGTGGGCTGGGAAGGGCAGAGAGCGCAGGTGGCTGTCGCTGCAGCCTGCTGGGAAGTGGCCTGGTTGCCAGCTCCGGGCAGCAACGCAGGAGTCCTCCGGAGCGGGTCCAACCAAGTGCCTGGGGCTGGAGCCCTGCCTGACAGAAAGGCCGGGTGGCCAGGCCCTCTTCCCTGGCTAATTCCTGGCGAGCTCAATTTCCAGGATGGTTGCTAGTGCTGCTCCTTTACTCTTTCAGTAACATCACCTGAATTGAAGAATCGGAAGAACTTTTATCAGAAAGGGTCTAGTTGGTGGAAGTTCTTTCTTTTCTGTGCTTTTATTCAGGTGATAACTCTAGGCGTCCTCCCCGACCCAGGGTGAGCCTTGTTTCTTCTTTTCTAACTTGGCCGGAATCTTCTAACTAAAGCAGTCTCCTGAAAGTATCATCCCACCCAGCCTACTAGGACAGGTTGGAGAGCTGCTTGGCTCATTTTGTGAATGACCACAAGGTGGATCAAAGATTTCTGCTTCCAGCTGACTTCCAAGCAGAAGGACTTCAGCTCAGAATGTCAGATTAGGGAGATGTGGGAGGTTGTGGAGGGGGCTGCTGAGTGTGGGTCTTCCACAAATGGCCCTGTGTAGGGATGACAATGTGTTTTGTAGCCCTTCTAAAAAAGATTTATTTTGTGTGAATGAGTGTTCTGTCTACATGTTTAGTGCACTCATGAGTGCAATGCCTGCAGAGGCCAGAAGAGGGCATTAGATCACCTGGAACTGGAGTTGCAGATGGTTGTTAGCCTCTATGTGGGTGCTGGGAACTGAACCCAGGTCCTCTGAAAGAGCAGACAGTGCTCTCAACCACTGAGCCATCTCTCCAGCCCTAGTAGCTTTTCTTAAGAACCAGAGAAGGATCTGGACATACAGCAGAATTTGCATAGTTCCAGGCACCTGCCTTTTCTGAATTGACACCAGCACTTTAAGACCTAAATTGCTTAATTAAGGAAAAAAGTGCTTGACTAAATTCTTAGATTGTTGTATTTGCTACTCGATGGGCTTTAAGGGAACAATTTATTTGCTGCAATGGGTCTCAGGTCTAATGGTTCTCAGGGTACGATGGTCTAATTTTGACTTGCTCAGTTCCTGAGATCTCATAAGAGCTAGTGTTTATTGAGTACTTACTGTTTACTGTTGAAAACACTTTATCTTCATTATCCATTTATCTTCCTAGACGCTTAATGAAGAAGATGCTACATGCCTATTTTATGAGCCAGGAAGCTGAGGCTTAGAGAGGTCATACCACTCGCTTAAGATCCCAGTAGTAAGCAGGGAAACAGATTCAAACCTAGGCATTGCATCTGCATGGTCAGGCCTCACAGCTGTGGGGTCAGAGGTGGAGAAGATGCTCAGAGCAGTTCCCTGCACACAGTGGGAGGCAGTAACTGTTAGCTTCCATTTTAGCTTCTCTTGGCTGCTAGAACAAATGGCATTGGACAGGGTGGCTTAAATCAACAGAAAAGTATTCTCTGGCTGTTCTAGAGCCAGATGTTTAACATCAGTATCTCTGGGATGAGACTGTCAGTGTGGCACTGCCCACCCCAGGAGGCTCTAGGAGGAGCATCCATCCCATTCTTCCAGCTCCTGGTGGCTGGCAGGCATGCTTTGGTTTGTAGCTACCTCATTCCATCTAGTCTCTGCCCCTATCCTCAAATTGACTTCTCTTTGTGCCACATCTCCCTCTGGGTGTCCCTGAAGAGGATACATGTAGAAAATTATTATTAACAATTATTATTGTATGTGATATATGCATGTGGGGGGAGAGTATTAGCTTGGGCATTGGGATATGGAGGTCTTGAGTGTCTTCCCCTATTGCTCTTCCACATTACTTTTTCTTGATTGTTTTTTTTTGTTTTTGTTTTTGTTTTTTGTTTTTTTTTTTTTGACAGAGTCTCACTGTGTAGCCTGGCTGACCTGGAATTCACAAAGATCCACCTGCCTCCACCTCCCAAGTGCTGGGATCAAAGGCATGCACCTGGCTCTCCACATTATTTTTTTTATGAGATAGAATCTCTCTCTGTTCTGGAGCTTGATGTTTCGGCTACATTAGCTTGTTGATCAGCGAGCCCAGAGGATCCACCTGTCTCTGTTCCCCTCCCAGGGCTGAGGTGACAGGTGCTTGCCACTGTGCCCAGCTTTTCTGTGGGTGCTGAGAATCTAAACTCAGATTCTCATATTTGTTCAGCAAGTTCTTTACCCATAGAGTCATCCCCACCCCTGAATAAATTATGTTTAACTAGTACATAAAAGGATAAAAATTGTGCATATTAATGGTATACCATGAAATCTTTCCATGCATGTATATACAAATTAGGCTGTGTTGCCTTAAACATTTACCATCTTCCTTCCTTCCGTCCTTTCCCCGTCTTCTGTTTTTTTTTTTTTTTTTGGTTTCTGTGAGACCTGGTCCTGTTGTGTAGTCCAAGCTGTCCTCAAACTCCCCATCGTATTTCTTCATCTTCCCACGTACTGGGATAACACGTGTGTGCTCTCAACCTCATCGTTTTTTAATGGTATGAATTGTCAAAGTCCTTTCTTTGAGTTTTTGTTGTGTTTGTTTGTTTGTTTATTTTTTAGACAGGGTTTCACTATATAGTTCCGGGTGGCCTGGAACTTGTATGTAGACCAGGCTGTCCTCAAACTCACAGATCTGCCTACATCTTTCTCTTGAGCACCAGGATTAAAGATGTGCAGTGCCAGGCTCAACTACTTTTGGTTTTTTTAATTATATTTATTTATTTGTGTGGATCCTGGGATCAACCTCAAGTCATCAAGCTTTGGTAGCAAGCACCTTTACCTGCTGAGCTATTTTCCCAACCTTCAGAAATCCTTTCTTCTGGCTTTCTGAAGTTGCTAAGAGAAACTTCATTATTTCTCTCTATCATCATTATTGTTTTCAGTAGTCACCCTATTGTGCAGTGTACTGAGCCACACTACAATGTCTGGCTCTAATTATAGCTTAGTGCCTGCTGATCAACCTTCCTCAGCCCTGTCTCCCCCTACTCTCTATCACTGGGATCCACCATTTTCCTCTCACTGTAAGATCAGTGTTTTTTTTAGATTCCATATGAGATCCCGGGGCATTTGTCTTTCTGTGTCTGGTTATACCCTTGTAGTTGGCAAATGGCAAGATTCTGTTCTTTTTATAGCTCAGTAGTATTCCATTATAAATAAATTCATACAACTGTCCTTATGGTCCATGTGGGTAAGCAGGAATAATCTCCCCATGACAAGATCATCCCTGAATTTCATCGTACCTGCAAAGTCTTTTCTTTACCGCCATAAGGCAGCAACAACAGCTTTTAGAGATTAAGATGTGGGTGTCTTTTGGACAGTCTTATTTCTCTTACCACAGTTATTACTACTATTCCTGCAACAGAGAAAGTCTATGTTAGGTTTCCTGTTCTTTGTTAAATTTCTCCTAAAAGGGTGTGGCATTCTTGGAGTCGCCTGGGCAGGAAGGTCTTTTTGTTTTGTTTTTGTTTTTATTTTTATGAGAGCATCTCAAATAGCCCAGGCTAGCCTTGAACTCACTATATAGCTGAAGCTGGCCTCGAATTCCTGATCTTTTTGCTTTTCCCTCTCCCCAGCTGGGATAACAAGCATGAGCCACTGTACAAGGGCTCTTGGAGCAGGCTAAAATTATTGTCCCTACCCCACCCCACAGGCATGTGTGGCTGGCATTCTCCTAGGTCATTTAACCCAGGTCAGTAAGAAGAGGCCAGCCAAGAGCAGGCTTCTAACTTCATTTGGGAGAAGCGAGGAGAAAGACTTACCTGACCAGAACATCTTTCTGGAGGTCAGGCTGGTGGGAGGAGTGAGCAGGAAAGAGCAGTGTTGTCTCTGGGCTCCAGAAAGACTGACTGTGATGGTTAGGCAGAGAAGAGACCCATCCACCCTCCTGAGGAAGATGCCTGCTAGCCAGGTTCCCCTGGGGGTGTAACTGGGTCTGGTATCCTAGGATAGGGACTGGGCCAGATCTGGGTGGCTGCAGAGAGAACAGGCCAGCTAGCCCAGGTCCTACTCTTACCTATCCTGTGCTGTGCTATGGTCCTGAAAATTGACTTACCCTGTAGGGCCTTGCTGGAGGCTTCTCAGCAGAGCAATCTTAATGAGCATGGGCTTGTTAAGTGCTTGACAGAGCTGAAAGTAGCAGACTGCCAGGCTGGGCTGAGCAGAGTGACCTCAGGGTATGTTCTCTCTGGCTCATCACTCCTCCCAGGGGCCTTTTCACCCCATATAAACTTCCACCCAACGCAAACACTGCTGTGGAAGAATGTGTGCTTGAGGAAGGATGGAAAAGTGGCTACTGCATTTCGGGGTAGGGTGAGGAAGGGAACTTTCAAAGGGCCCACTTGGTC